TTGGGAATTTCGAGCACCACAATCCCACACAAACGGAAGCGATAAAGAAATTGAGACAACAATTTAACGTGGTTCGACTTGTACACTTCTCAACAAGTCTACGTCCACGGAAAAGAGAAAAAATAAATCCACTATTAAGAAAAAAGAGTACAATAATTTGGAAACTCTCTCACTTAAGAAGCTCTCAACCCCTAGCTTCAATCTATAGAAACTCCCAAATTCTCCCTAATACTCTCTCTTAATCTACACAAGGATTTCTCACAATTTCTCTATTTTTTCTCTCACAAGAGCTCTCCCTCAATTTCTCTTGCTTTCTCCTACTCTTGCTTGCCCATTGCCTTTGCATGCATGGGTATTTATAGTGAAAAATCCAACCACCCATGCACCATTTTTCTTTGCTTCCATTACCATCCGGCCAAGTTTTTCTTTGCCCATTAAATGGCTCAACATGCAATCTTGCATGATTTCAACAAAGCAATCCTAGCCCACAACTAGCTAGGTTGGTGAAGCAAATTTCCACACAAGAAAGTCCATGGGTTCACACATGGGGTTGGACTTTCTTCCAACAATCTCCCCCTCCAACCCCATGGGAGGAGAAACCAACCATGACTCCAGCTCCCCCTGCTCAAGAGCACTTTATCATGGTGTCCTATTTTGAAAGGTTTCTCCTAGTATAGGATAGGACAAACCTACACTAGGTGTACTATGGAAATTAATTTTGAACCGAAATATGATTCGAGGGAAAATCACACCTCCTCGAACCATCATCAAACACCACTTCATTATTGAAGCTCACTTTCTTCTTGGTCTTATTAATTTCCTTGCCATCTACCAAGATCCCTTTAGGCTTCCACACCATCTTCTTCATGGTTTTGTTGAGCCTTCTCTCGGGATGTTGCTCAAGCACATAGATGTTGTGCTTGTTCTTCCTCCCACGCAAGACAAGTCTTCCACCTTTGTAGACCTTGCACCATTCTTGTTTTCCGACATACTTGCACCCTCGTGTTGTCAACTCACTCAAAGCAATAATGTTGCTTGAACACTTTGGCACATATCTCACATTCTTGAGAATCTTGGCTCTCCCATTGTGAACATTGAGACAAACATCTCCTATGCCTTCAATATTCACCTTCTCGCCGGTAGCCACCGTTATTTTACCAAGCTCCCCCCGAACCAAACTCCCAAATTCCGAAGGATTATTGCACACATGCATGGTTGCAGCGGAGTCCAAAATCCATCTTTGATTATTTTGCTCCACCTCAGGATCACACTCTTCACAAGCTAATACTTCAACCACATTTTCTTCAACAATATTAGCCTCCCCTTTGCCCTTGGTTTCTTGACTTTTCATCAATATTTTCATATTAGAAAAGTCCCCCTTAAACTTCGGGCATTTATACTGTTTGTGACCTAACTCACCACAATAAAAACATTGCACTTCACCATAATCCTTCTTAGGTCTGGATTTCGACCTTTCTCGATTTCCTCCACCTCCACGTCCATTGGATCTTCCCCGAGAGTGCTCCATTACCAAAGCATTAGTTTGATTGGCACCATCATCCTCCCCAAGAAACTTATCGTTCTCCAACAACATGGATGTGACATCTTTCATCACCAAAGTAGTCTTACCCATTAGCATACTCTGCACTAGGGACTTGTAAGACTTTGGCAAGGATGCAAGTAAAAGCAAAGCTTTTTCCTCTTCTTGTAGAACATCCCCGGCATTCACTACTTGTGTCACCATCATGTTGAAATCAGATAAGTGCCTATGAATATTAGTGCCTTCTGCCATCTTCAATTGATATAGCTCCATCTTTAAACACAATCGATTGGTTAAAGATTTTGAAGCATATATCTCTTCAAG